AAATCTTTCAATCGACATTTGGTAGATTCTTGACCTTACCGAGAAGTTTAAGCAGCCGACGATTCGGATGCCATGTAACAACTACGGGGAGACTAAAGATGGTGGGTGTCTTTGACGTCAAAGTAAAAACTGCAGTCGGTGTCTCCGCGTTTGCCGGTATGCTATTTTTTTGGAATACCATAGTGAGGAGTCCCAAGTCCCAGCGGTGGGACTATGAAAGGCTGGATTGTGTTATTTGTTTGATAATACTATTGAATGTATTCTTATACTATGTTTATAACCCATGTCGAAACCATTAGCCTTAAGACAGCCACATTATAATATTTCAAATTATGTTGGGCGTAACGAAAATATGAGAATGAAGCTGGGTAACGTTACGCGAGGTTTTATAGCGTTATTGTAATTTTAAGATCCCATTTATGTTAGAGAGGGTTCTTTTCTCGCGAAATTTAAAGCAAGATTTATTTAAATTAAGTGATTTAACTATTACGAAAAATTGAATTTTTCTTGATACTTCACCATAAGAATCGGTTATAAATTGAAAAAATTACGACCCAGGCAGGATTTGAACCGGCATCCACAGCGTTCCGTGCTGTTGACAAAATTCGACGATGACGTGCACGACTCGGTAGCTCAATTTGTTAGAGCAACAGCACGGAACGCTGCAGATGCCGTTTCAGGTGCTGCCTTGATTTCAGTATGAATACTTTACATTATGACGCTTGTCACAGTTTCACAATGACATTAATATCTCGCAATTTATTTTTTTATCGACCATATTAATAGAATAAATATTAAAAAATTTATACTTATTTTATAATTCAGCATAATAACAGTAATAACTAATAAAACAATATAAGTTGAGGTGGCGCGATATAATGATGGAACTCAACACGCTATCGCCGTAGTTTCTACTTCTAATAACGCTTTACGACCTGTATTATATCTAGGCAATAAATCGTTCTACGGTTATACAGGCTGTCACGAGAATTAACTCATCCATTACCACAACGCCATGTATCACCATTTTGTAATGAAGAAATTGTTTTTTTAAGTAATGAATATGTATGTATATTAATTAATAATGGTAAATGCTACGTTTCATATTTAGCAAAAACGTGCTGTATTTGGAAACGGCCAGTCAAATAAATAAAAGTACTTTGTTAGTAACACGTTTTTATTAAAAAATCACTCGGTAAATATTAAACGTAAGGTACAAGGAAGAAAGATTTATCTAGTTAAAATAATTTTCAAATAAGTTTACTTAATATATTTCGCGTTTTGAACCGTTAAAGTGTTTTATTTAAATGTGTACTACTCGCGTTAACTACAGACAGTATTGAATTTTCCGTTCTCAATTAAAAGAAATACCAATCAAACACAACACAACAAAAATTCTCATTCAAAACAAGATCATCACATGATGATTTACATTATTAGAAAGTGTAATCCCCACTTATATTTATTGAGTAATGACATAATTTATAACCCAAACAATATGATAAGCAGTATGTCCAGTTTGCCCAGTATTTACTCGCTCATTTTTAGATCTAGTTAGAACTTCATTATTACCGAATCGTGTAGACGTATCGATCTTCCGTCAATATTCTGATCCTAGTCTAGTATTAAGCGTTACCGGTTTATCAGTGAAATAATATATCGTCCCCAATATATGTCCCAGTCTCCGAAGTAACAATATCCACCGGCGCGACCCAAGCCAATATTTTATCCTCGGTTAGGTAACAAGGCCGGAGCAAGAACATTCGTGAGAGATTCTCTATATTCTGCGCTGAATATTAAACGTTCTAACTATTACGAGGACAGTCTGAGAGAACTGTAATAAGGGTGTGATTTGAATCTTCTGGCGTCTGTTTTCGAATCTTAGTTAATTAATAGTTTAGTTTCTTGCAAGTTCTTCTCGTACGTTCTACGCCCTTGTTTTGGGAACTGGTAGTAAATGTAAATGTCGTCTTTGGTTTGAACTAGTTGACGTTCATAAGGATATCTACGTGAATAAATGATTTTGGACTTTGACAGAAAAGAAGTAGGCAAAGTAGGGTAGTCTAGCTTGGGTTTTGGCAGTGAATAAATGTTTATACATGTCTAAGCAACGTGAGATGCACGGGGCTTGATTACCGAGAAAACCGAATTGTAGCGATCAGACGAGGCACTAAAGTCTAATCAACTATCTATACATTAAAACTCAGACAGCCCTGTGTGCACAGTCCGTGCAACAGACACAGGGTAACCCAAAGCCCACCAAATTGTACATATGTAACTTTATATTATAAATAAAAATGTATTTACATCTTTTTTTTTACGTTGGGAAATCCTTTCGGATACCCACCGCACCAGAAGGAGCAAATGGGTTATGTGTTTTTTAATAGGGAATTGTTTCAATACGTACACATGATATTAAATAAAAATAAGCTGATATGATAAGCTTGAGTAGGCATTTCAGTAAAAGTACACAAGTCTCAAAAATAAACCCTTTCTTATCATATTGAGGCAATCTCAAGCTGTTTCAACTTTATGAATTCAGTTAATTACGTAGTCTTATTTTAAGATGAAGGACAAAAGGTTGTCGCAAAAGAAAGTTTACCCAGTTTTTCCTTTTAAGGTCTGTTAATAAAAATTATTCCACCACATTCAAGAACCATTGTTTTTTCATTCAATTATTTCCTTTTTTATTATTTCAATGTGGTTCAATGTGCGCAATTATTGTTGGGTACTAAAAATATAATAGTCATTGAAATACATAGTAACTTGATCTGCTCAAACAGAATAAACAATTTTCTTTATAATTTAAAAATCGAAAATAATTGAAAAAAATGTCGACTCGGGCAGGACTTGAACCGGCATCGCATGGGGCGAACACATTTTTTCTTTCACTGATCCATTCTTTAACAGGCAAGTAGTTGATCAGACTTATGTGCCCTGCCTGACCACCGAAACAAATTTTTGTTTCCCTGGGATTCGAACCCAGGACCTCTCGCGCATAACGCAATGCTAAGCGACACGTTTATCCATTTGGCTACAGAGGCGGTCCAATCTCGTATTTAAGGACTAAGTAATATAAAAATTTATGTATGTATGTTTCATTGTTATATGTCATTTTCTTTAAATTACAAAATAAACGCTGTGTTCAGTGATAAGACAGAATTACGAAATACAATATAATGCTAAATGCTAATTATTCAGTTCAACCTTGTTATTATGCTCAACGGAATGTTAATTAAAGATAAGTACCTGACTGAGCTATAATGCTTATGAATACAATATAAAAGGTTACATAAATAAATTAGAGAAATTAAGGGAACGTAATAGAAATTTGATAAGTTTATACTTTCCACATTTTATTGCAAATCATGGCATTATATAAATTGAAAATCGATTTAGATTTAACAAAATTTACGACACGGGCGAGCATGTAACAGCGATCTATAGGACTCGGTATCTCAATTGGTTAGACCAGCAGCGCGGAATTCTGTGGATGTCGGTTCAAGTCTGGATGTTTGCTTAGAGTAAAATCATTCAAGTATATATCCCGGAAAGATTCCTATCCCATGATCCAAAAAGGAAAGACGGAATTTTGATAATCGGGGATAAAATTCTCGACGTCATGAAACTACCCAGAGCTTCAGACAAACAAAACTAACTATATTTGTAGTTTGTGCATTTGGAAACACAAAACCAAGGAAATGTGTACGCTACTGTTTGCCCTACAAAGAAAATCTATCTGGATAATGTGGAGCGCGTGGGCACAATAAAACAACGCATACTTAGGTATATAATAGAGAAATGCAAACTGTTGCGTAATACGCGATGACGATAGCGTATAATACGGTCAATTGGCAAATTGTTAACGATCGAACTCTTTATGGGATACAGTCGGTTCAAGGCTGTGACACGTGTCCCCTACTTGTTTTGAGTCCCAATTGTGGTCTTTATACTGTGACTGTCGAAATATTTACTGAATTTAAAGTACGAATGACGTCTGTTGGGTTGAAAAATATTTGTGGACACACAAACTATGTGTAGAATTGTTTTTCACTAAGAAGTTGATCTCTGTTAACTTCTCTGCCTCGACCGCAGCAATAATGTTAATTTGGGAATCGAACTCGTAAAATGGTAGGGAATACGTTAAACCATCGAACCGCAGGCATTTATAAGGGGAAAAAATATATTTAAGACTAAGTAGTAGAAGTAGCTGCGATATATTACACACGCAGATAGATAAGTATACAGTACCTGGTAGATATACAAGATAGGAAACAAACATAAGTGGAATGCAAAACCGCATAGATAATATGAAAATATGTAATGCGCATTTAAATCTATACATAAAGTTTCCCTTTGTCGATTATTTTTTATTCATAGAATTATTTCGCAGTAACTTTAAATAAAGAGTTTTAGGTTGTATATATGACTTTTATTATACTACTATTTCACCAATAAAATCACCTTAAAAAGTTTCTTCCACAGGGAAATGTTTTAAAGGAAACTCTAGTGTCATCACTTGATATTGAATACAATTCAAGTTATTATTACTGTGTTCTTACATAAACTCTCGAGAACTAATTTATCAGGTACTTAACTGATGTGTAATCAAAGTCCTTATTAAAATAGTTCCGAAGTAAGAACAACTAAATAATTTCTGGGTACGTCGATATTACATAAGTTGTTTATGTGAATGCAATTGAAACAAATCAATGCAATATATGTACACAACATAGCTGCCCTAATATACATCCTATGCCCTTGTTAATAAAGTGTAAAATACCTTCAAAGCGCTATAATATACAGGAGGTAGGAATCTGTGTTAAATTGGCACCCATTGCGAATACTTGCCAAATATAACACGTTCACGTGGCGCCATCTCGTTACTGCAGGGTACGATTATCACCGCAAACATTTTTTTGAGTGTCGAATAGGACCGATAGAGGGCGCTTTAAAAAAATTGTAAAAAAGGTAAGTTTCTTTGTAAAATGTGATCTTACGTGATTTGAATTGATGGGCCAAGGATGCACTGTCTGCAGCGTGATGATAGTCGTACAACGAACGACCGTTTAGGTCCCCAGCCTCGAAGCCGAGTGTGTCCATTAAACTGAAACAAATGAAAGTGACATTTGAAAATAATGAAACATTTAATTATATTGTAATTGAGATTTTTACTTGTGTAAAGCTCCGTGACACGTGTAATTATAATTTTGAACTTATAAAGCAATGTTTAGCCTGAAACATCATACGACATCTTTGATAAAATAAGTTTTACTCATGACATCATATGACTCATAATGGAATTATGAAAAATAATACTAATTGTCATATTATCTTAAATAAGTATACTATAAAATAATTTAAGATGATAACCATAACAGTAAAGGTCAAGCAATGTGACCTACCTTTAAACATTTGAGTAAAGGTTATGTTTACCGGTAGTACCTTCATAACCTTGAATGACCTATAAACATCCTTAATATTTCTTAAACAACATAAATTTAGAATTAAAAGCAAACTTTCAGTCAAGATGGTACTCGAATAATATTTACAAGCAGACGGGGTTCAAAAATGTATATTCCCGAGATCCAAAACTTACAGATGTTAGTTTCAAAAACCGCGCCATTCCACAAAATACACTGCACATAAGCCCACAATAACAAACACATCTAATAAAGAACCAGAACACAAATCACAGCACTCCAACAACTTTTCTACCGGTCGGTGAGTTTATCGTGTACTGAGAACTAAACACAATCATATTTAACCTACAAAATACGTTTGAAGGTGATATTTTGTTGATATTATACATCCAAGACGTATTGCGCGCAGCGAAGGTCAAACTTCAGTGTGGCAAGCGTTACCTAAATTCGGTCAGGTAATATGACTGTTGTTTGATAAAAGCGCCACCTCGTAGCTAGTTATAGTACTAGAACGTCACAGTGCATACTGCATACAAATAAAAATGCATTTTTATACAGGTGCGAAAAAAACTAAATACTTAAACGTTTAAGTAAAACTTTAAATTTGAATATAAACATTATTTTTTGATAGTTTGGTAGTCATGGTGACAATATCATAGCCAACTAGAATTGATTTTCGGCGCTATTATCAACTAACTATTTTTAATAGAGAGAGAACCCAGATTCCTAGATCTTACTTATTTTCTTACAAATAATAGAATAAGGGTTATTAGATCTGGTCAGCATCCAGGCCAATCGGAGGGGCTAAACACACCGCTCCCCCATGACACTCATAAAGTGCCACTATGTCGCGTCATATATTCCATCTGATACACTACAATTTTTAATATATTGGATAGTCTTGAAAAGCTAAATTGTTTTCCTAACTTCTTGTTGTGTAAAATCCTAGCAAGGGCTTTAAGAAATATTAATACCTTTAGCACATGAATTTATCGTCGACCCAAGCTAGCGGGTATGTACATAAACAAAATATGTACTAACACTACTCTCTACTCCATTTCTATTATTTGTGAGTAAATAAAAAGGTATGCGGGGTCCTGCGACCTTGGACTATTACGGAACATTGTCTTTCTGCATTCAATGACTTATTTATATCTTTTATATAAACATTTTTTTTTATTACATAGTGTACATCAATAAGTAAATAGAAAAATCCTACTTTCCTATATATATATTCTATAAACATTGTGGACGGTGTTAAAAATCGAATGGTGAGCAAAATAAGCTTACCCATCATCAGTGTATGTGAACTTCATATCCAAGCTGTGCTTGGTCAAGAAGGTTTTGCTGTCCAGCGGTATTTCTATGTTCGACGGATGCGGTATAGGACGACCAACGGCGACAAGAGCGCCATCTTTATTGGATTTCTTCACTTCACTGTTTTCCTCGTCGTTGTTATTTTCAGCTGCCTTTTCTTCAGTCAGCATATGACCAGTGAGGTGAATGACCTGTAAGCAAAAAGGATTATAAGATAGGTATCTACTGCTTATAATTTTTGTTTACTTTTGGATAGATTTGGATGACAATTCTTAGGATATTAAAAAAGACAATATACAATTGACGCAATTTAGATTTTGGTATCTGTATGTACAGTCAGCAAAAATAAACGCCAATAGAGAGCACTGCTAGCGTTTATTTTCCTGACTGTATGGAAATTATGAGACGTGTTTATTTTTTATTTCTTTCAGTGCAAATCCACAATTTTATTCTTCACGAAACATTTTGTTTCCTCAGTGGGGCCACTAATTTCAGGCAGTTTGAACTGCAACACGTTTAACCTTTTACCTACGAGGAAGGAGGCTTTTTAATGAGTAAGATTGAAAATAGGCAAAGTAGTAAGCGATGATTGGCGTACCGCGCTGGGGATTTGGGATTAAGAAATTGGAAATATAAGTTGTAAGTTATTAAGGCGAGTAGTAAATATTTAAAAAAACACTCGACGATTTTAAACTCGAAATATATTCGTTAACATATTATAACTACGGCCCATCGTTTCGGTTGCTGCAAAGAAAGGTAAATAGTAGTCGTTAAAATAGGTTAACAAATATATTTCCCGTTCTAAACCGTTATAAGTTTTTTTTTATTAGAATTGCAAATCTATTTCTAATAGAAAAGAGGTAAAAATTCTCGCAAACTGTTATTTGATTTCCTGTTATAACCCATCCTAGGAATTTGGTAATTTGGAAATACCGAGAATAATACGAAATCGTACCGTCAATTTATTAAGCAAATAACTTTTTCTTCTAATAATATTTGTTTGCACGTAGTGGTGTGATATCAAACAAATGAAGGCGTCACATCGGCTGACGGGTCAAGGATTGTGTAAATATGCGTATGATTTTGATACTAGACAACGATATGGACGGAACTGTCGCTTTGGTTGTGCCCTTATCCTCCTTATCCTCCTCATTAAACATGGGTGCTGCATGCAAAGTTAGTATACATGATAATTGTAACCCATTTATGTATTAACATTAATAATTGTTTAATTTCTGTATGTATATTCTTTGAACGTGAAGATAGTAAAGTGAAACTTGGCGATAAAAGGAGTGACAGCGAGTTTTTTGCCAGTTCCCGTTCGTTCTGCGCCCTTGATTTGAGAACTGGTAGTAAATGTAAAGTTATAAATAAATGATTTTTTGACTTTGACTTTGTACCGTATTTAGTATGGAATATATTTTTGTTTTGAAATATGAATTACCTTGTAAGATGCTGATTTCAGATGCACGTTCCTGCCCTTGCTCGTAATTGTGCACTTAAGACGAAGCAGCAAGTCGCGTCGGCCGACGTTGCTCGCGCGCAGGGCTTCGCGGATCTCGTCATGGTCGCAGGGGTGACTGAATTCGAACACACTCTGGCCCATTATCTCCATCTGGAAATAGTTAAAAGAATTTTAAAATATACACCGACAGAATTCAAACCTGTGACAGGGAGATTTTTGCATGTTTTTTCTGAAACAATATTATCCATTTAAATAAAACACTTTAACGGTTTAAAACGCGATATATTAGTTAAACTTATTTAAATTTCCCGTCTTTCTTACAAGTTAATTTTAAAATATAGAAATAATACCGTATGTTTATATTTTAAGATTAACTTACAAGAACGACGAGACGCGACCGGCGTCGTGGGTATATTATAAAGATGGCTATCATTTATAAAGATGATAATGATCGCTGGCACAGCAAATATACAATAAAGGTGTTTCAGACTACTTTGGGTGGGTTAGTTCTACCTGTGACACGCCAAGGTGCTCCGCTATGTTCTCACTGCAATACACAATGTCCCCCTGCTGGGACAGGACGAGGACAAAGCCATCAAGTGCCTTCATGTAGGACAGCTCGGATTGCACCTCCTCCAGACCTTTGGGGCTTTCCATGGCTTTTGTGTCTGTATCGGCCGGCACTGAAACGAAACATGGGTAATATTATAAAAATGAATGACGGTCGTATGTTAATATCATGCACAGTCAGTATATAAATTTTTTAACACATCCACAGATTAAACTGTTTTTCACAACAATTTCAATATTCGTACCAATCACTTAAAATCCAGATTTCCAGATTAGAAACACGTTGGTGGGGATCGAATTTACGATCCATTGTGACCATGACAACAACGAGCCCCTAAATTTATTTGGCCCGCCAAACCCTCGAGTAAAAAAATACTCCAGTTATATCGTCGTTTCTCGAAGATTAGATAGGTTTATCCTAAACCGTTAAAAATTTACTTTTAAGAGTGTCGATCACTATCAGTCTCGGAGTACTAGCACTTAAATATTCATTTTGGTATTTGATGATAAGTGATGAATTGCAAATATTTCAAGGTGTTTTGCCCAAACATAATTGCGTATTATTTTCCTTTAATATATTGTATGTCTATTGAATTTATGACATATAATAAGGTAAATGATGTGTTCCTGGGTGATTCCCAATGCTATTATGATCTTAAGAAACGATATTTATTAGGAAATTTGAAAAAATCTATTCTTTCTGTAATCTGTACATTTAATTTGATAGTGTATTTATTACTTATCTTGAAACATTTTTAACAAAAGGATACCAATGACTAATAACTTTTGATATATGAAAGATTTTATCAACGTCAAAATAACGCTTAACAACCACAATTTTGACAACAAGCCGATTTAAGTGGAACATTTTGAATGCATTTCGTATAATAGAAAAACAATTTATTCAATGATTACTTAATACTTTACATCAAATGAACACTAGTTGTTATTTCTACTATTGTTGTTCAGTAATAATGTTTCAGAACTCGTAGAATCAGAATTTAATATACTCACTGGAGTATATTATAATATTATATAGTGTTTTATATTTTCAATTAATGTATATTCATTTAAACCTATCAATGAACCACAACTGGACACAAGTCTCTTCTTATCCCGGAGTGGGAGGGTAGTTACAACAAAATTTATAAAAAACAAACTTATGGAAACGTAATTTTATTTTCGTAGAAATCCATTTCCCATTGTATGCCTATGCAAAGATATTTTTTGAAACGACAAACCTTCTTTAAATTACTTTGAAAGACATCCTGCTTTTCTTCCCGTTACGAAATCTATGGAGAACCATTGAATCATACATTCCGAGATTTGTACACGCGGTTCTTATTATGTGCTTGAATTAACAACGATAATAATGACGCCGGGCTTGTTGTGGTTAAATGTAAATATAATGATGACCGAAAAGGTTTTGAGGAAATCCAGTGACGGTACCCAGTGTAAAATTTGATTTCAACTCATAATATATATGGGCACAGCTGGGCATAGATCTCTTCTCTCGTTGGAGAGGCTTTAAGATCTTAAAACCACTGCGTTCAGTGCGGACTGTTACGATTGCCGTCATTAAATTGATGATGATGGAGATGATAGTTTTAGATTTTCACCAAATCTGACCCCGAACATCGCGATCCGCAATCGAGGAAATGCTTGCATTGCAATGCATATTAATTAAATTCAAAGGTCTTTGTTATGGTAATGGTTTAATTTGAGTTTTAATTCACGTATAGTGGTTTTATTTTATTTAGAAAACAGTCAGGACTTTGTACTTCGTTCGAAACATTACCTTTCTTTAAATCGGAATTGTTGTTTATTTCACGTCTATTATTGTTGATTAATTGGTTGTAAACTAAATCAAAACATGTTTAAGGAAGTAAATTTGTCTATGGGAAACCATAGATTGTAAAATTTATATTGACATTTCATTTGAGTTCTGTTCGGCCATGACCGAAGTCCATTACAGAACAGTAACTTGTTTTTGAAAATTTTATGGCTTTTTGATTTTACATTGAATGAATAAATATAAAGATATTTCATAGATAGAGATTTATTTTTATGTTAAAAATAAGTATATTTTTTTTTCAACTCTTTTATCCGCTATATAACGTAAATAACTACTTCTACAAAAATGTGTAGATATAATTTTTTGTACAGAATCGGATGGTCTACAATTTTAGTCTTAATTATTTTTTCTGTAATACTCATCGTTTAGATGCAAAACTCGAAATACCTATTTTTTAACTTTGATCAATAAGGCAAATGCATATTAATTCACTATATCTATTGTTCATGTGTAATAAAATTTATAATACATTTATACCGATTTTTATCTCCATGGTAATTATTGTGACCGTGCCTATATTTTATAGAAGAACAACCAGAAAAAACGACTAACACAACAAACCGAACGTCTCCCAACACAGCCGGTCCTCGTGGGCGCACTAGACCACATACCTCCGATAAAGAATCGGACAAGAATCCAAATTGAAACCCTAAATACCAGAACAGATGAAAGCTAAATGGAATTAGAAAAATCACTGAAAAAAAAATAGTTGGAGGAGGCCTCTGTCAAAAGACACACCGAAATTACAGATATTTTATATTTTTTTTACAATGTAAACATTCGGTAAATTAAGGCTATTAATTATTATTATTATTCTATAAGAATTTATTTCAAATAATTAAAACATTTTCTAACTTTTATCTAATTTCAAAGTGTGTCAACTTGCATCAACAAAATATTGTATGGGTTTTCCTAATCTGGCTACACTTATATCAAACCCGAAGTAATTAAATATTTTGAACGATAAAATTATCGGATTATTATGATAAACACCTAAGAAAATAAGAAAAACACGCGATCTAACAATTTTAGACAATATTCTGGTTTGAGTGTCCCTACTCAATTTCACAGTAATTTCTTATAACATTCTGAATTATAAGTATGATGCCGGTTCAAGTCCTGCCCGAGTCGAAATTTTTTTCAATTTATTTTTAAGTATGGTTATACTTAAAATGTACCGATTTTTAAATTAATATCAAATGTAAAATTAAGAAAATAAAAAAAAATGACTCAAGATAGGTTACTGGGAATTTTCCACCTTATTGTTTATTACTTAACTTATTGTGTACGTGGTTGGTAATTCAATTCTTATTTTGAAATAAATAAATTGAATAGCTTAAATGTAGCGATGGACAGCCTTTGTAGCTAAATGTCTGAATATGACGTGGTCTAACATTGCATTGAGCGCGAGAGGTCCTTGGTTCGAATCCCGGGGAAAGCAATAGATTGTTTTGGTCGGGTGTGGCATAGAAATCTGACCAATTTCCGAATATCCAAAGCAATAATAGGCCGACAGCGCATCCTGTTTAGATGTTATATGGCTGGGGCATTTCACCCCCCATCACATGAACCCCACGCCTGTCTATCCTCCTCCATATTAAAAAAAAACTACTTGCAGTAGTGCTCAGTAATACGGACACAAATCTATTCGCCTCAAGCCCCAATGGGGAAAACGGCATTTAACTCTAATTTGAGTTTTATGTGTATTTGTTGTGATGTAACAATGCGTAAATTCATTTATCTATACACGGAACAGCAAAATCAAATCTATAATACATCAATCTAATATTGACTTTTATCATCTTTGTGTACAATTTGTTTAGAGACTAATAATAATACAACGCAGTATTATGTTACTAATAACAGGTTATCCATTCGATCTAGATTTAATAACTGTGGATACATGTTCTCGAAAGTAAATTTATTATTTTTAAATATTTATACTGTCAGATATAAAATTCGTGAAAATAAAGAGACAAATATCGGTGTTATAGGTAGAACTGGTGACTATGTCAGCACATTAGGTGACCTAGGAAACGGGGACAAACTTTTACATTGGCATTTTATAGCTAAATTTAGTGCTAACGCGGCGTACTAAGAAACACGTTTGATAGGTTTTGGTATTTCCCCATTTAACGAGATATTTCTTAGAAATATAATTTAGCTTCATGGAAAGAACATCATCAAATTGTGAGTCACATGAGACGCCAAAAATTGTTTTTCGCCAAGAACTGGGATTAGTCCCAAAAAAAGGACAAAATAACATCAGTTGAAACCGTTACCAGTCAAACGAACCTCAGAGCTTATTTCGGTTGCCATGCGACGAGTCGAGGATCGAATCTTCGACCCGTACGTACACACTTTTATTCTTTTTTTTTATTTTAATCCGGCTTTTCTTTAGTATGTAGTTATTTTTATATCAAATTCCGTTTAATTAAAAGGCAGTTGATCACTTCTGTATCCTGTTCGATTGTTTCCTGTCAATTCTAAACCAGGATCTAAAATCCTCTACGTAACGCCTGGCAACACACCAAGCTAGATAGATGATGTTTAGTAGTTATGGATTTGGGTGTTAATATTTTTTATTGATCCAAGCTATTTAATTTAATAATACTACAAAATACTTACACATTGACACAACGTCCCGCACGCGAAGGTAGGAGATAGCCAGACGCATAACCGAAGCCTTGTCTAGCTGTTCCACTTCCTCCTTCTTCGCTGGCAATGCAGCAGTCAGCTCGGCGAAGATCTGCATCTCCTTTGTTCGCCGACATCGTGCGGCGACTCGAGATTTCTCCTTCCTCTTTTCACTATTCCTGTTGGCAAAAGGTTTACTGTCAGTGACGTCTTTGACCTGGTGTCTATCCCAGGCATATAAGACGAGTGTTAAAGGGGCTCTCTAAGTGTTTTTTGTTTACTGAAGTCCTATAGATTAGTAACACTATAACGTTTACGTATTATAGCACCTACTTAATAACTTTCATAAAATTAAAATCGATTTTAGATAGAAAAAATAATAATGACAGCCGTTAGTGATTAGGCGTGACCCAAACGTCATTATCACATCATCCTTCAATTTACAATATATGATAAATTTATATATTAAGGTTAATATTAATATTATTTCCTTTTGGGGACACCTATAGAAGGCCGGGTGATCAATCCACACCGTTTGTTGACCATTTTACGCATTTCCCCTTTCCACTTAGCGGAGGATTGAGGGTTATTCAACTCTCACTGCATCCTCTTCAAACCATCTGTTTTTTAATTCAAACTCTGCCAAATTGCCAATGAAATTCGAGCCGTTGCTTTTGGAAAATAAGAATTTTGTTTTCTGGTATGTGATTAGAAAACTAATAATATTTCAAAGAGCTTATCATATATGCCTAATATATTTAACATTTTAAAACAATACTTTGTTTTAATAAAATAGCTTAATCTGTATATAGTAAGCATGTTATACACACAACAACTTAGCCATTACGATGTTGTTATCCAATTAAACAATACAAACAAGGTTTGAAGGAATGAATCGCATCTTGCACTCAATATAGAATGATTAACGCTTGCTAGAATGTTCTAACTTAAGTAATAGATTTCTATTATGTTGTTAGTAACCGTAGTCCGTTTAAAAAATATCTATTGCAAATATTCTTCTTAATTTTGTACTGTGTGACGTTCATGCATATACAATTAGTATAATATTGTTGTTACTATAATATATACATATCTAACGATTAAGGCGCGACTATCATGAGCTTTTAACAAAATCTTAGAATAAGTGCGAAGTTAATGAAAAATAAGTACTTCGTGTTTGGTGTCAAAGCCTCTGTTCAAGTTAACGAAAATGTAAACATTTTATCGTGATTTTGAATGAACGTACAGCTTGCGGTTGCCTTTACATAGTCTGGTTACAAATAAATATAAGTTAATAAAACAAAAGAGGACACCCTGTATAATAGATTATAATGAGAAATGAGAATTTACCTTTTAGACACGGCGTATACATTCTTCTCATCAATTTCAGAAGTACCCGGAATACACATTTTTGGCACTTCCCAATAATTGCGTTTAAACTATTCTCACAATTCTATTTAAGATTATGATCTAAACAGGTTTGTTATTATAACTAGGAAGTGCTGTAAAAGAGCACTCCTCGAACCAGATGACGCGACGTAGTGAGAACGAACAAAACTTTAATCCATCAAGTCATTAGTTAATGATAGCATTATCACCGTCCTAAATGATTATAACGAAGTGCGTCAATGTAAGAACGTAGAAGCAGTTGCTAGTTGCAACTGCACTGTTTAATTACAAACTATTGAAAACGTCAATAGAATAACACTTCTTTGTGGTTTGTTTAAATTAAATTTAAATTACGCGAGAGATGCATGTATCAATAAGTTGAAAAAATCCACGATGAGGTGTGGTACTTGGTAGCTCAATTGGTAGAGCAACAGCACGGAACGCTGACGATGCCGGTTCAAGTCCTGCCCGAATCGATTATTTTTTTAAATTTATTTTTGATTTTCAAATTTAATTAAACTTTTGCAGCATGCGATTTTTGGCTTTTCATATTAACATAAATAAATAAAGTCATAAAAAAAATGTTTTTTTTTTTGTTATTGATAGACTGAAATCGAAACGCGATTAAACTTATTTACTTTTTCTTCTGTAGTTGGATGGAATTTGGATAGTACGACCATTTAAAGACCAGAATTTTCATATAAAGGTTTTATGATGAAAATGTCTTAGAAAAAAAACCAGGTCTTGGTAGAAACGAATCCATGACCAACGAGATCGTATATATGTGTATTGATTATTTATACTGGTGACGATTAAAAGTATGCAAAATTCATTTAGGGATGTGTGCCCAGCATTAAACTATTGGACATAAAAGTCAGAGTTAATTGTGAAAGTAATTTACATACGAAAGCAAAAACATCCTATAAGTATAGAATCTAACATTGAACCGCCTACTCAGTATTTTTCGCTACAAGAATAGCAAAACAGCTGATGTTAACATTATACAGAATTCTAGGAAATTTTTAAGCAAGCAAAACCTCATTTTCAATTTCATATCATTACGTTGTAAAACACGTTTTTATTAAAATTGTATGTCGTGTAACACATAACGAAACGTCGGGTCGGAGTTAAAATATTTTAACGTATGTCGCGTTTTTTAATGTATGTCGCGTTTCAAACGGTTAAAAGTGTGTTGTTCAAAAAATACTTGTGTCACCCAGACACGTGCAATGTAAAAGTATAAATAATAATTGTTAAAATCTGCATGATTATAAATTAATATCTTATAGTAGAAAGAGATGGCATGGTATTTGTTCTCTGCAAATAAAAAATATATAGATACCTAACAGAATAAGTTGACAACAGGGTATAAATAATTTAAATATTAAAAAAATATATATGTAACTAGCCAACACATAATCTATGTTCATCTTATATATGCTTTTTTTAGGGAAACAGGGTACCTACAGCCTTTTAGGTCATGATAATCGCTTAGACAAACGCAAGACGTCAATTTAATCAGAATACAATGTAGCTTTGACGCACAATGATGACCACAAGTCGTTTGCAAGACGTGATTAAACTCCAAATTATGTTTTGGATAAAATTTTATGACGTAAAGATCGGTCTAATGGAAATTTATTGCGAACATGGTTTTTTTAAATAAAACACTTTAACGGTTTAAAACGCGATATATTAGTTAAACTTCCGACGTTTCGGATGCTTTGCAGCAGCCGTGGTCACGGAGAAACGTCGGGCCGAAGTTAAAAATCATTTTCAAATAAGTTTAACTAATATATCGCGTTTTAAACCGTTAAAGTGTTTTATTTAAATGTGTACTACTCGCGTAAACTATAGACAGTATTTAACATGGTTTTTATTGAACGATTTTTATTGATTAACTATTTATATCGGAGTTACTTTTGAGACCACCAGAAAAAGTTATTTAGATTGAAAAAAAAATTAACGACCTCGGTGGAACTCGAACCGGCATCCACGGCGGTTCTTCTTCTGTTGCTCTAGCAACGTGTACTACCTACCGAATTTATTAAACCTATTGATAAATGCAATTAGTTAAGCAGCAGCACCTCTGTTAAAGACCCGCCCGTGTCGCCATTTTTTTTAATCCGAATATATAATGAAAAACGAAAAAGTTTTTCCAGCGGCAGAACACAGTAACTTTCACGTAAATATATAACAAGAAAAAAAAAATTATAGCAAAAACAAACTCAAATGTCGGAATTTTAGATCAAAGAAAATAACATTTTATAATTAAAATTTAATACATCTTTCATTGAAATAAAACACTTTAACGGTTTAAAACGGCATATATTGTATTAAACTTATTTGAAAATGATTTTTAACTTCGGCCCGACGTTTCGGATGCTTTCGAGCAGCCGTGGTCACGGGGAGACGGTGAGAAATTTTTCATTATTTCTATAATGGCATGTGCACATTTCCCCAGGGTTCAAACTTAGATCATTTTACGCTTGACGCAATGACCTTTTGTATAGCTACCAATTTTTTTGACACATTTTATTAATAAATTTCCTATAGATCAACTAAGGGATTACTTTAAACGTTTGGTGTTTATCGTTAGGTCGAACTGTCTGAAACGATAAACGGATAAGAGCGGGATGCATTGAGGAAAAGTTCATACGAATGTGCTGCCGTATATTTTTATTCAACGTCTACAATTACGGCGTGCAACGCAAAAAACTCGTACGAGTAAACGGGGGCAGGTTTTTAATTAGTTGTCGGAAGCTGATGTATTTATTCAAAGGAAATATACAAACATAAAACATACTAAATTTATGAAAACGTAAACACTTAATTTAAGCTTTATAAAAAGCTATGTTCTGACGAGTTATAACTTAGGCTGTACTAAACTTCAGGTAGTGTTGGTAACACTGTACCTACTGTTGTACTAGATGGCTTTTAACATTTTCAGTGATCTCTAAAATTATAAATGAAAAATTTTTTAAACTTAATATTATGTGACTTTTCGAATTAAAAGAAAATTATTTGATTGTTTTTATTAATATTTCATTTCTTCCGACAACTACGCCAAAGTGTCGTTAAAAAAAGTCTAGAAACTTTGAATGTCTGATCTGACAACCCTAGTAACATCGCCGTTATTTCGGCATTAAATGTTATTTAATGTTGAAAAATTGAGCTTTTTACATGACGTCGAAATTTTTGAATGACCAAAAATCAATGTTCATTATTTTAATAATAAAAAAGTGGTCATGGAGGCTTGCTAATCGTCGGCATCCGTATTTAGTGGTGTCAAATTAATTCGCTGGTTCATTTGACAAGAAATGGAATACCCTAAACCCATTTTCGATTTGGACCTTTGGAAATCCATAGACTGAAACAAACTGAACAGAACTGAAATTGAACATCAAAACAGCTAATGAACATATAACAGCTTTAACATCTGTATGGCAAAAAAGGCCGTTAGACAAAATAAAACGAATCGCACTGATAGGCACTTTCGATGTAATAAATTCTAACTCTGAAAATCGTGTTGTAATTGTATAGGCAGTTATAACCTTCACAATCTAACGGCACGTTTTACGATAGAAAACATATAAATTAATACTAGATACCTATATAAGTTAAAATCTAGTCAAGTACTACGTACATTGTAATGTAATAATTATAAGACAATATAATAAACAAAAATAAATAATAGAATAATGGAGAATGTAATAGACAAAATGTTTCTTTAATGACTGATTCTTAATCGTTAGATATTTTTTTGCTATGACACCATCTAATTTGTTGT